CCCCCCCCCCCCCCCCCCCCCCCCCCCCCCCGAAGCGTGTGCGGTTGTGTTGGTGTACAGACGTTGTGTCCTGCTCTGTCCCTCAACCAAGTGTTTTGATCATCTCTGGGCGATCTCATCACCCAAGGTCTCTGTGTTGGTTGAGGGACGCCAGGCTGCCTCACGTGGCCTTCGGCTTGCGCCCCGAGAATGGAAAATCATTGGTTTGTAATCCGTGCGCCCCTCCCCCGACACCGGCAAGCACTGCTGCTCGCTTTGCTGTAACGGTACGCATATCGATATATACCATATGTAGTCTTTCCACCGCTACTTTTTCTCTCTTCTTGTTTTGTGTCTTGTCTTCGGTCTTCGATGGTTCTCGATGGTGTAATTGTGGGAGTTTTCCCCTTCGCACATCTGCTCCGCACGTCGGTGTTGGGTCTTGCATGCATCTGCGTGTCGTGTGTGTGTGTTTGAGTTTCTCAAACGAAAGAAGTGGGTGGTGCCACCAGCTGATGACCCCCAAGTACATCTACACAGCAGTCCTTTGGAATATGATCTTCTAGTCTTTGGTGTGCCCTTGCTCGTGTTCGGTGCTTCCCTTCTCCACTCTAGGGTAGCCACAGAGGCTAGAGGGCTTTCGGTTTTGGGCTGGGTGGATTGCCGGTCGGCGGCCTACTCTCAATTCAGCGTCGTTTGTTGTCGACGTCGTCGTGGCGTCGAAGCCGGTGTGTTCGTGGTGGGCCTGTGGCGGTAGGTATTGGGGAGGGTAGGGATGGGGACACACCCGGCGTATGCCAGCAGTGACCTAAATTGAAAACTGTGCTGTGGTGTGTTTTGCTTGATTATAACTAGATGGTGCTACGTGTATAACTCCGGTTGATCCTAGAACACCCGTTCGTTTAAGTCTCTGGTACAGAGCGGGACTAAGAAGGAATTTGACATTTTCTTCTTTGTACCTGTTTTGGGGCGGTATGGAATGATGGAAGTGGATCGTACTCCTGTAAAGAAAGGTCCACTGCCTTTTTAGTTTTTCCCCTACTCTACTTGGTGGGGCGGTTATGGAGGCTTTGGAGAGCGACCCGATGTTGTGGGAGGACAGCCTAGCCAATCAGTGAGCCCGCATGTTGAAACGATGAGAAGCTCGAAAGAAAAAATTGCGTTCACGAAGAAGGCTGGTTCTTCGGAAAGCCGCTTAGTTAGGCCGGTTTCTGTTGGGCCCCAGGAACAACAACAGCCGATTTCGTGACCGTTTATCCGAAGGCGATAGAGAGGCGTCACGGTGCATTTGGTTTGAGATTTGGTTGATCTCATGAACTAAGTCTAGCTTCCTCCGAATCAATCTCTCAAGCTTGCTGTGAGCACAACTTCGTGCAAGTGCTGTCCGCTTTTCAACGTCCCCATGGTCTATTTTCGGGAACATCGGCGCCTCTGGTCTCCTGTGCGACCTCGCATCCTCCATGACACACAAGCCAGCCCAGCCCCCCACGCCACCTTATTCTTGGCGTTGGTCGACGTCGCGAAAATCCGTGTTTTCATTTTGTGTGTCTGCGAAATACATACGCGTTGAATTGTGGCATCCATCGTGCGCCGTGTTTCGAAGCGTTTGTCTCCATACTTCATGCCTTTTGCGGTTTGCCGAGAAAAAACAGGGAAATCCTCTTGACAGCAGCTATAGGTGTGGCATTTCGACCGAAAATGAGAGGGAGTTGCTCCGAAGTGAACCGTACCACCACAAAAAAAACTGAAAAGACCACACACGCAATTCATTTTTTTAATGAAAGAGGGCAGGCTGCGTGGCGAGATGGTTCTCGTTTTAAAGGTTACGCGAAGACCACTCTATAGAGGCCACGTTTTGCAGTGTGCAATTTGCGAACCGAAATTAAGGGGTTCCCAACACACGACCAACACGATTCTTCGTGATGTTTGGGAGCGCCATCTGTCCCGATTAGCCTAGACTTTGTTGGCAACGCATGCGTCGAACAGATGAGGGGCAGGGCGCTTTCGACGTTCTGTGCACGAAAACACACGCTTGTCGGACGACACAAGACTTGGAGCGGAGGTCTCCGAGAATGGGCGCAAACTTCGTACGTGGGCAAGGGGATGAGCGATGGGTGCGACCAACATATGACGCGCATGGACGCAAAAAGCATCGTGAGCTAAATATGCGTGATGGGGACGACCGACCAATAACAGCGGCGTTTGCGCTCATGTTCCGTTCGGAAAGAAAACCCGTCACACGATACATGCGAACAGATTTTCCAACATCCGGTAATTAGGACTACCGGTCGCGTCCGCGCCAACGACAACAGCAGTGTGGTCGTCCGTAGGCCGACGGCCTCAATGGCATGTGTGCGCGTTACCGTCGCGCAAGAATCACGCCCGAACACCGTCGATCGATCACGACGCATGCACGTACGCGTTATAACGCGATCAAATGAAGACGGAAGACGAAAAAAAAAATTTGGTCCACAAGATCCATTTAGTTTTCAACTCAGAACCCCGCAGAGTTAGTTGTCTGCTGCCCGGCAACCGCATCTCCCGCCCCACCAATACTGAAGATGAAGAAAGAGGTGATCCCTACATACCTCCTTCTCTAACGAGACATTAAAAAATGTCCACACGTCAACAAGTGGAATCTTGCGACAGCATGTGGCGATTTCGGTAGAGAAAACCCGGCCATTTCTGCCACAACGGGCCCTACCAACGTGCACACACGCGCAACCACGCCCCCTTTCTCTTCACAAGACGAGCCATGCAGTCAAAAACACAGCGAGGTATCTCCGTCTACTGCACACGAATGATGAAGAAAAAGCTAAGGCAGGCAGGCAGGCCGGCGGTCTTCCGTCCATCTTACGCTTCCGCGCCCTGGCGAAGGATGTCGGAGTCGCCGGCGTCGGTGATGGAGAGTACCGACACGCGGAAGTACTTCCCGCAGGCGGTGCCGAGGTCGGTGTTGGAGCCCGTGTAGTGGTGCACGGCGCACTTGGCGAGCATGGCGAAGTACTCGATCTCCGACTTGCGGAGGGGCGGGCAGTTGTTGGAGATGAGCACCATCTTGGCGCGGGTGCTGCGCATGGACTTGATGGTGCTCTTGTAGCCCAGCGAGGCCTTGCCCGACTTCATCACCAGCTGGAGCCGGGCGTTCATCGACTCGATCGCCTTCTTCTGCTCGAAAAAATTAATTAAGAGCGAGAGGAAGATGGGACGTCAGGGAGTGAACAAGGGCAAAGACATAAGTCAGCAGATGTTACACAGCAGAAGTACTGCGCATACACGTGGAGGAAAAAAAAATGCCGGCTCACGGACCGGCGTGTTTCATCTAGGACGTTCGATTATGGACAGGTACTCTGTAGGAGTAGAACCTAACTATTGGCTCTGCTTGGAAAAACACACTTCGTCAAGAGGACACGCAGTGCCCGCGCGAGGATAGGTGACATAGGCGGGAGGAGCACATAAACAAAGAACAAAGTTTGGGGTGTAGCGTGGAGAACAACTCTCGTAACTTTTTTTTTGGTAAAAGGTCGACTGGGAAATTCGATGCAGCGGGGGTACTCCACATGATTTATCCACGCTTCTCATCGGGTCGTGGGCCCAAACATTTTCTCATATTTTACTCAGCTCGAGCACGAGGACGGCAGGCAGTCACACGAATACTTGGAAACGCCCAATGCAAATCGCGCACACGACCTGCCAGGCGAACGAAAATCTAGGTCAAGATTAGACCTCGAGGGTTTGTGTTCCTAGCGCTTGGGAGTATGGAGTTCGTCGTGCTCAATTCCAGCATGATTTCAGGCACATTGATTTTATGATTTCCTTCATGGATGCACGCGCAAGGGGTGGGCATTCCTCACAACCTCCAAGTGGACACTGGACGTGCAGGTACCGGAGGTTGGGGGTACATCAACGCCGTCATGGAACGATACATGTACATTTTGCGTATCGCCGCCAGCATCCTCGTCTGCCGGGTGGCTGTTCCTCGCGTGCTTGCGGAGGGTCACCTAGCGCTTTTGCGCATGCACGCCACAAACAGCTACACAAGAGGATGACGATAGGCGCGGCGAACGCAGAGCGCCCATGTATCGTTTCATGATGGCGAGAGAACACCCCAACCTCCAGTAAAACGAAGCACACGTGTCCGGGATGTCGAGCCCTTCGACCAGTGGAGTTTTGGGGTTACCGGCATCATGAGGCAGAATTCATCGTCGTCCGTGCCAGGTATCAGATAATTGATGGACGATACTGACGGGCAGCATACCAAATAGGCACACGGGGGTCTGTTCTACCAAGCCCTCTTATCCGTAAGTGCAAACAGGTGCAAATGTAGGTAGGTAGGCACATGGGTGGCTAAAGCTGAGATAGGGTCTGTGAGAGCCACCCATTACAACACCACTGAGCCATGGGCAAAAAACACGCCACACTGGTTTGTTTACGCTTGTGTCTGTCGGCACACGGCACGAAAGAGCCATCACGTGGTGTACACCCAAGCCGGCTCGTAGCCTTCATATGAGCAACGGTGCGGAAAGCATCTGTTTACGGCGTGGTGGAAGGAACGAGGGAGATCTGGGGACAGACAAGGGAGATCTGGGGACAGACAACCGACCATGCAGAGATCAACCAGGACACACCGACAGACGGATCGTACAATGGGTGCCTCAAGTACTACGCCCCCCAGGACCAATTTCCAAAGCTCCGCTGCTCCACGACGAAGAGGATACAGACATGATACGTTTCCGGCAAGCTCAAAGCGAGGCGATTTTTTTTAACGCCGCCGTTGTCCGCGCTGCTACTCTTTTCGACTGTGGACGAATCGGGCCTTGACAATCGGTCCAAGGGGGGGTGGTATCTTACGTTGTCTACAGTAATTCCGCCGCGTTGGTTAGGAGCCACAGAAACACACGAGAAAGAAAACCAGCCCGCTTCCCATGAGATATGTAGACAGGTGAGCAAAACGACAGTAAACCTGACATCACGCACGAAAAAAAACCTGGAAGGTGACACCAACCAACCTCTAGACAGACAAAAGCAATCACGACCCACGTTGTCAGAGCACCAACCGCGCTGTATTGATAGAGGCCGGCAGACCCCGTCCCCGCGTTCTCTAGAGAAAACGTGGATCTCTCGGGTACTTGAGGAGTTGAGACCAGCAGCTACATTAGCCTATCCCCGAGATGGGCACTCCCCAGTCGCCATCCTCTATCCACTCGGGAGAGCGAGCGAGAGACAGAGGGCTAGGCGTGCATGGGGAGGCTCATCACGGATCGCCTAGGCACTTGACTCTCAAAAAACACGCCACAGCCACGAAATAATTGCACCGCGTCGTGTATGTGTCGCGCGAAGCTGGCGTTAGTCTCCAGCGACGTGCCGTCGACCCTCAAAGGCAGGATTGTCACCCACCGATTTCTTCCCGGGCGCCATTCTTGCTGAGGGTTTGCAGGGAGTTGGGGGGTGGAGAGCAGCAGGGGCAGACCAACTGAGCGAGCGGTTGCTGCTGCGAGGCCGAGGCGGCTCCGGGGGGCACATCCAGATGTTCTGTGCATACCCCTTGGGATGTGTGGGACTAAAATGTATTTTTCGGAGCCCCGGACGATCTCCGAAAAGCAGATTGCTGTTGCCTGCCCTCGCTGCAGCAGATTAGAAGCGAGACCATAGAGAGAGAGACTGGAAGAGTGCGCTGCTCACACAGTCACGGAAGAGCTGGAGGTGTCTCATTTTGCTACTGAGACGGCTTCTCTCTTCACTGGGTTCGAAGGTGAGTTTAGCAGTTGGATACACTATTAGCATCAGGCGTATCGAAGTTTGAATTTATTCGGCGGTGTGGTCCCGTTCATCTCCGCAGGCGAAGCTACTGCAGGTTGAGTTGGCGGGGTTGAGTTGCCTGCGATACACATCATAGTGCGAACCAGGTGGAAGCAGCAGCAGCAGAGCTGCACTGCCGTGCTGCTGCCTTCTCGACCCTTGTTGCCCTACGCTTGATTGACCACCGTGCTTCCGCCCCACGGGCATGTCGCATCATGTGCCCATCGTGCCTCTCAAATTTAACAATCCGCAGCACCAGCAGCAGCACCAGCAGCACCAGCTGCAGTATTTCAACAACGGACCCACTTCGCCAGAGGGCGGTGCGGGCGAGAGCAGAGATAGCCTCCATTGTTTGTTGTTTTGGCCCTCTGCTGTGCGGGTGCTCGGCGAGTCGTCAAAGGGGCGCGACTTGATGGGATGCCTATACATAGATTGAAACTCAAACTTGAGCTGATGAGCTGCTTGGATTTCGTGTCCTCTCAGAGGCCGGGCTTTGAAATTGCCACGCAAACGCGTCCCGGGTAAATGTATATGCAGACCCACGTCCGTTCATGACCACTGGAATTCGAATGACTGCTTGTGTGCGTTTTTTCAAGTGGCATCGACTGCAGTAGCCGCCTGAACAAGGGAGAAGCAGTCAGTTTGTTGGAGGACTAAAACGAGAGAGACAGGCATACCTTCAACAGCGGTACGGGCATTTCGAGAGGTTATGTACGGGACTTTCGAACTCCCGCAGGCGATGCAACGTCCATTGGGTGCAGATTGATGCATGTACTTGGGGATACACCTACATACAAGTCGTCCCCCGCAGCTGTGAAGCTCTCGTCTCAAGTTCGGGCCCTCTACCTTGCCTTGTTCGGGATACCAGTGTGATCCGCTCCCTGAATGCAATATCGTTTGAACAACGTCTGACCGTCCTCGGAGCGAACGCGATTCCCGTGTGACTTGTGTGTGTCTGAGAAAAACATTTGCATTGGTTCGGTGTGGTTGGTGACAAGTGTCGGGTCATTCGGACCCCACGACGACTAAATTTTATTGAAGCCGAAATGTAACAATCACATAATGGGGTTGATTTCGGCCCCGAGACCCACGATAGGTAGTTTCTTAGCAAGGTGAGGGGTATCACAGCAGTTGTTTCTGTGTTTGGCCTGCACACAGCATGACGCAGCTCGACTGAACCTCCCCCCCACCCCCCCCCCCCCCCCCCCCCCCCCCCCCCCCCCCCCCCCCCCCCCCNTATGCACGACTATGAGTACCCCTCCCACCCACCCACCCCCCCCCCCCCCCCCGCGCGCGCACGCCGAAACGAACCGCTTCAGAGACGAGAGCTGGACGACAACAAACGTTAGGCCACCAATAAAAAATCAAGTCCGGTCGGCTTCGATACGACTACGAACACTCGCACCGCGGCGCGGCGCACCTCGCACTCTTTTGGGCCCTACCCCACCCCACCCAACCCTTTTTTTTTTTCTCTTTTTCCTTCCGATGACGTTGTCGTCCTCTCCGTCGATCCGCCGCTCGTCTTCCCCCACTCGCCGGACGTTCGCCATGTCCCGCCGCTCGTCCTCCTCGTCGTCCCCTTCCCGCCATCGCCGAGCGAGCGCCGCCGCCGCCTCGGACGCCGCCGACCGCAAGAACCGGGCGGCGTCACACACTACGCCCAGCCGTCGCGGTGGTGGCGGCGGCGGAGATGGAGGTGTGGATGCCAACGCGGGCAGCGGGTCCGTCGAGGGCTGGGTGAATAGAAAACGGCGGGAGTTTCCCTGCGCAAGCAGCAGCCGCAGCAGCGGCAGCGGTGGCGGAAGCAGCCTTCGGGGCGCCGCCGGAGGCGGCAACGGCGGCGGCAGCGGGCAGAAGCAGACTACGGGCGCGATGGACATGGAGGTGGAGGAAAAGCGCGGGGGGGGAGAGAGGAGTAGGAGGGGCGTCGATATCGCGTCGTTTTCTCCGTACGCTGCTCGCCTCGGCTGGGGCGGCAGCGGCATCACCAACAGCCCGGGGGATGAAGTGGGGCGGTAAGAATTTGGTCGAGGGGCGCGCCCCTACATGTTTTGCCAGATAGTCCCCAACCTTGGGGTGTCTATCACTACGATCCGCTCTAGACGGCATGCCTCCACGCACTTCTACATGCCGGGGGCCTCTCCGTAGCCTCAGCCTCTTTGTCTTTGCCTGCTCTTTAGTGTGGTTTCGCCCATGCTGGAATTGGGTGCTTGTAGCATCGACCGCGCTTGCCGGCTGACCAACGAAGATGACCACGGACGCTCCCAGCCGACCAAGAAAACACGACGACGCTTGATTTCGCGGGCTCCCCACACGGTGTACGCTCGGACACGCGTGTTTCTTCCACTGATATTATGAGCGCAACATGACCGAACGTGTGATCCAGGAACCCGTTTTCGTTCAGGCTGGTGAATACACCCCGCCGTAAATACTCCCGCACAAGCCTCCTCTGATTGTTCAACGGCCGTGATTGATCGGATTCACTGCTTGCTGTCCGTGTACATGTTTGATTGTGTTTCGAAATTGAAACCAGCGCTATGGCCAGGCTTGCAGGCCTACAATTCGAGCACGGGGACGGGGATGACGGGGACGACCAGGAATGGGCGATGGAGTCCCCCGCGAAGAAGCACCACCACAACGACGACACCTACCGCAAAGACAGCGCATCGCCTGCCCCCACCGAAGGGGTCAGCGGCGTTGCGCGCAGGCAAGGATTGGTTTTAACCCGCCTCCCTCTCGCGCTCCCGCTCGTTTGTGTTGCCGTGCATCCACGGAGTGTATGCTTTGCGTCCAGGGTAAATCGAAGGCAAAATACCGCAGGAGGGGAGGGTAAAGAGGGGCTCTTCTTTGTGACCACGGGTTGGAGTAAACGGCCCTAGTGCCGTGAGCGCAGATTTGAAGTGAAGACCAGAAAAAAAAAAAGTGCTTACTTGTATAGATTAAGCCTATGCTGTGACGTGTTTTTGAGCTCCTGCTCGGGTTTCGAACGGACTACCGTTAACACACACCGTGTGTTTTCGTTTTGGTACGCTGGGCGAGCTGGAGGCAGGCGGGAAGACAGATAACCTGAAGACAATCCGCATTGTAGGTGCTACATGTATGGCATAGGCACCAAAATAGGGCTAAACTCTCTACTCTGACACACTTCCACTGCTTGATGTACCTGCCTCTCTTTTGTCTCCCTTTTTTCCATTGTCTCTCGTAAACGGAGCAGGATGCACTTCTTCAAGGAAGCGGATGCGCCCCCGCCGCCGCCGTCGCCGCCGCCGCCGCCCCCGCCAGCGGCGGCTACGGTCGAACGATCTCCTGAGATCACCGCCGCCGCGAGAGCGGGAACGTCGGCGGCAAGAGCGGCAACAGCGGCAGCGGCAGCAGCAGCAGTCATACCCGTTGAAAATATGATTGTTGAGGGCATGCCCGCCCAAGACATGGCCATCACGAGCGCTCCCTTTTCTAAAGTTGGCGGCCTGCGCCAGGAGGGAGGGGATGAATCGATGGCGTCCCCGCCCTCGAAGACAGCGGCGACGGAGAGGCGCACTCTGGTTGTTTACCCACCGGAGTGCCTGCTGCACATGTAAGAAGTCAGCCGGTTCAAACACGTGTTGTCGGTGTGCAAAGATGCCATTGGTCGTATCCATCTTTGGTTCTACACACCGCAACGTCCCGAGGTGTACGACCAAGGGACTCGACGATCACAACAATATTCACCGCGAGGGATTGACGCCTTTATGCTACAATACTTGAATGTTGTGCGGAGTTTCGTTATTTCCTGCTTCGTGCTGTTGGCTTTCCTTGCATGATGCGACGGCAGGGGGGTCGAGGACCACGAGAACCACCAGGAGAAGCCCAAGCGACTCGATCTGCTGTGCGGGGAGCAAGGCGCCCTACGGAGGACTACCTTCCAAGGTGTCTGGAATACTCCTAGTACAGCAGCAATAGCACATAAAGACGAGATGCAGAATATTTGTTGAGCTGTTTTTCAGGTGCCTTCACACTGGACGGTGTTTGTCACTAAGAAAAAAAGACTATTAGTGTGCAAAGGTCCAAGATCGCTTCTGCCGCCTGGGTTGGTTTGTTGCTGGGCTAGTGCTGTATGGCGACCATGGTGGGTTTATTCTCGGCGAAACCTCGACACGATAGACGACGACAGCATCAACAAGCGCAAGAGCGGTAGCAGCACCCTCCTTGATTGGCACTAGCGCAACGACGGACAATGTCCATATGATGAGCAACTACAAACACAGAACAGACTTTTACCATTTTCGTCCCGTCTTTTTGATTGGTCAGCCGGTCACAATGTTTCCGAACACACCGTTTGGCTTGTTGTATCGCCCCCTGCTTTCGTTTGCCCTTCTTTTCGTGGGCATAAGAAACGGAAAGCAGGCCCTCATACCTGCCCACCAAAACAGCGAGTGGATGCATGACACGTTGTTTGCTCTGCTTGGTCTGCTCGTGTTTGCTTGCTCTGCTTACTTCGCTTGTTCTTGATGTTCTGCTTGCCCTGCCTTTTTTGCCTCGGGTTAACTTGAGGAGGACTGGAGTGGGTGGACCCGTCTTTCGTCGAACCCGCGCTCATCACCGATCTGCTAAGGGTGCACGAGTACGACTACCTCGTGCACATACAGGCGAGTTGGTCGTAGCGTCGCACGTTCTGCGTGCGTGTTCTTTTTTCTACCGCCGTTCGT